TATCGAGTCAGAACCGACCCATAGCTGAACCTCCAGTGGATTTTCAGAGGCAGTTAATAATCACACAGGAGGAGACTAACCATTCTTGATAAAAATCTTCATAAAGCTAAGGGGGTGGGGGATTGACTGTTCAGTGACCATGGAATGTTTATACAACTTCCGAAACCATGGCAAGATTACAAGCATGCGAGGTAAGGTGGGGGACATGTCACGCAGGCCTTTGGAAATTTGTCTAAGAACAGTGAACCTTTAATGGACAGTAATGGGACTCGTATATGGATTTTAAACACGGTCAAGAATGACTTCAGATTTGTTTTTTTCAAAAGATTACTCTTGCCATACAGTGGAGAAATGAGTTGAAAAGGGAGAAATTGGAAGTGGTGAGAACAGGTGAGAGATACAGGTGCCTTGGACTGAGGTAAGAGTTTATGGAAATATAAAGGAGAAGGATTCAAGGCAAATCTAGGAGAGTGAACTTTATGAAGAAATAAAGATCACTGTCAGAACATCAGAACTTTTTGGACTTCTGTCCTTTTTTATTTTTATTTCGTTAGTATTCTTTTTGTTTTAATTACATATTAAGGCAGGGGCTTAATATGTAATTAAATAATAGTTCAGTGGCTTTAGATTCTCCCATGCAACTTACTTTGTGTAAGATCTTAACCCCTGTCGAATACAGGTATCATTTCACTTAGGAACACTGGAGGAGGAGCCCACCTTTGCTTCGTGCCTTTGTTACATTTAGCTTCAGTAAAGAGAAAAACATAAGTAAATTAGCAATGCACAAGTAATCAGTGGTCTTCTAGGGAGACACTAAGGAGCCAACATGCCTGGCGTGTTTTGCATCTATGTTTTAAATAAACAACCAATGCTAATAGAGAATGAGTTTATTTACTTGCAAGAGAGGTCATGCATGTCGGTTGATACAGTAATTGGTGATACAGATTAAGATTGGAATGTCCTTAATCTGTAGTCCAGGGCATATAGGAACCTCTGAAATTATATGTAAAATTGTGTTTATGTCAATTTTTATGGACGAAACATGTCACTAATAATAATAATAATTATTATTATTATTATTATTATTATTATTATTATTTTACTTCATAGGGAAACATCAGAGTTTCTCACTTGCATGAGACTTGCCCAAGGTTCCAGAGAGGAGCTCAAAGAGCTTTTATTTGTGATTTCATATTCTTTTTACTGAGGGTGAGCCCTTCCCAAATCATGTTGTGGCTTGTTGTTGTTAGGTTCCATCAACTCCACTATGACTCATAGTGATCCTGTGCCATCCTCATAATCTCTGACACACTAGAGCCCATTGCTGAAGTCACTCTGTCAGTTCATATTGTTGGGGGTCTCCATGTTTCCAAGCATGATGTCTCTTTCCAAAGAATAGCCTTGCCTAGCTACATGTCCAGATTATGAAAGATGAACCTTTGCCATCTTTGCCTCCAAGTAGCACTCTGGCTGCACTTTGCCCAAGACATATCTGTTGTTCTTTTGACAGGCTTTTAAGTACTCTTCTCCATCTCTACCACTCAAAGATATCATTTCTTTTTCTGTCATTCTTATTCATTGTCCAACTCTCGGATGCATAGCAGGTGATCGAAAAAATCATGGCCTGAATCAGGTACACTTAGTCTTTAAACTGACATCATTGCTTTTCATTTTGGAGCAGTCTCTGAGAGTGGGCTTCCCTAATGCAATATGTTCCCTAATTTCTTGCTTGCTGGTGCCAGCAGCGTTATACTCAAGTGAAATGAAATAATTAGGAGCTTCAATTTTTTTTCTCCATCTATCATAATGTTGACTCTTGGTCCTCTGGTGAAGACTTTTTGTTTTCTTGATGTTGTGATGAAATTCATACTGAAGGTTGTAGGCTTTGATCTTCTGCAGCAAACATTTAATTTCCTCTTTGCTTTCAGCAAGCAAGGTTGTGTCTTCTGCATGAGTCTTGATGTTGCTGATGAGTCTTCCTCTAATCCTGATGCCACAGTCCTCTTCGTAGAGTCCACCTTTATGAATGATTTGCTCAGCATACAGATTGAATAGGTATGGAGAGAGACAACAACCTTGATACACATCCTTCCTGATTTTAAACCATTCAGTATTCCCCTGTTCTGTTCGGACAACAGCTTCTTGATCTAGGAATAGATTTCTCATAGGCACAAGTAAGTGTTCTTGGATTCCCATTCTTCTCAACGTTAGTCATAAATTGTTATGATCCACACAGTCAAATGCCCTTGTGTAGTTAATAAAACAAAAGTAGACATTCTTCTGCTATTCTATGCTTTCAGCTGGGATCTATCTGATATCAACAATGATATGTGCCACAGCCTCTTCTAAACTCAGCTTAAACTTCTGACAGTTCTCTGTCAATGTATTGTTCTAGCCATTTTTTATGATATTCAGTAATATTTTTCTTGTATAGGATATTAATGATATTGTTTGATATTTTCAAATTCTATTGGGCCACTTTTCTTGGGAATGGGGACAAATTTGGATCTCTTCCTGTCAATTGGCTAGGCAGCTGTCCTTCAAATCTCCTAACATATACTAGTGAGCACATCCAAGAGTGTATTGATCATTTGAAACATGCCAATTAGTATTCTATCAATTCCTGGGGCCTAAATTTTTGCCAATGACTTCGGTGCAGATTGAACTTCATTCTTCCTTACCATTGGCTCTTGTCCATATGGTATTTCTTGAAATTTTTCATTGTTACTGAATTCTTTTCTGTACAGTGAATCTGTGTATTCTTTCAATCTTCTTTTGATGCTTCCTGGATCATTCAAGATTTTGCCCATGGCATTTCTCAGCATTGCAATTCTAGATTTGAATTTGTTTTTCCGTTATTTCAGCTTGAGAAATGCAAATCTGGATATACCCTACCAACCACAAATTAGATAAATATCTAACATGAACACATATGTGACAGTCCAAGAGGAATGAGTATAGAGAAAGGATCGATAAGGGCCAAAGACTGAGCTAATAAATTCAGAAAAAGCAGCAATACACTAGTCAACTAAGGACTGGTCATGGAAGAGGAGAAGAATCAGATCATATCAAGGAAGTTGCAAGAGATAATTGCCACTGTCCAATATGATGAGAGATCAAGAGTGAGGAAAACTATGAATAAGATTACAGGAGTTAATAGTAGGACATCTTTACCGGAGTGGCAAAAACAGAAAGAAGGCAAGCAAAAGCTGATTGCTCTGGTGCCATTTATGAGCAAGTACACTGGTAACAGAACAATAATACAAAAGGTAGCTGTGATACACAAACAAGCAGGAGGCAAAGGAGTAACAATAGAAATTACTAAACTTTGATGTTCAGTTACATAATATTTATTACTAAAAGAAACTCACTGTAAAAATGAAATTTACGCTGAAGTCAAATTAGACAACACATATGTGTTCTTTTATGAACTGTGTTCTGCATTTCTGACCTGTACCTCTGCTCCCTAAGCTGGAGATACAGAAGAGTAAGAGGAGGGCAGGAGGAAAGCAAGATAAAATAAACAAAGCCATGAATGACATATGAACATTACAAATTTTGAACTTAGAATTTGTTAAGGGTAATCTATAAAATCATGTATACATGGTTAACTGAGCATTAACTATTACTCAGGCCAAGGATACATGTAGTATTTGAACCACAGTATTCTAAATTCGCCATCCTGGCAACTCTAAAACTAACTCAGGCTGCCCTGTGCAGATTGGGAGGGTGGGTAGTATTTTTCTGAGAGTAAAATAAGGTTTTATAAAAATAAGTGTGTGTCTATATATACACACACACATATATATTTGTATATTATATAAATAAGTGCATATATGTATGTGTATATATAATATATATATGCTAAAATCTGCAGTTAAGTTTACTGTGGAAGCCACTGGATGCCATTTTATAGTATTTTTCAAAATAACTTCCTTCTGGGACATATTTCTGGATAGACTAATTTCATTATAGTTCTTAACTTAATGTCTTCAGTTATTTTAAAGACTTTGAGTTAAGTACTGATATTTTCCTTCATAATTATGTGTTGGTGAAAAATCTGCTCATTGAGAAGGACATTTTTGAAGAGTGTAGGAAAATGCCTTCATATTAGAAATACCAAACCATGGAGTTGCTTTGGAACAAAATAAATGTTATTCTACAAAAATCAGAGATTTATAACATTCTGCCCGAAAACTAGTTAATGATTAAAATTGTTTTTAATAACAATAAAGATTTGTTGTACTATTGATGAGTGACAGTATCCTTGTTTAAATAAAGACCAAAAGTCCCTTAAAATATGCTTCACAATATAAATATGTAAATTAAAGACATTGCAATTACTTGATATTTAGGCATAGCTAAAATTGAAATGGAGCACTGATGACCTACTAATAAGGAGTTGTGCTGTCAGCCCAAAGGCACACAGTTCTAATCCACCAACTGCTCCATGGGAGAAATATGGGCAGTCTCCTCTCTTGTGATTAACTGCCTCTGAAAACCTGCTGGCGGGACAGCTATGGATCAGTTCTGACTCAGCAGCATACAACAGCAACAACAAAATGGAAATAATTCATAACATTTTTCTAGACAGCATAAATACTATCCTACTCTAACAGTAAGTCTTAGCTTGACTTGAGTGTTAACAGTTTCTAGTTTGGTGAGTGATATTTGGTCCAACAAAAGCAATTAAACATGACATATCTATAGATACCTGTTTGTTACACACCATTAGACTGATAAAAGGACATAAATTCACTTGACTAAATATTTTGTTTAAATTGGATTTTGGGAATTTTGTAGTTGTACACTATGAGTTTTGCTCACACTCTCAGCCATTTATGCAAAGAAAATGAGAATTTCTGGATTTAACATTGATTAAAGCATATTGGAATCATTTGTCTTTCTATTTTGTAATTGCTTTGATGAACCTAATTGTACAACTTAATGGATGCCAAAACTGTACCCCAAACAAATGCATGTTAACATTTTGCCTTTAGCCAATAAGAAGAAAGAGAAAGAGCGCCCAGAGATTTCTCTTCCTTCAGACTTTGAGCATACGATTCATGTGGGGTTTGATGCAGTCACCGGGGAATTCACTGTAAGTAAGCTCCTTATTTTGTCTTTGTAAGCTGTAAAATTAATTCCTTTGTGGAAATTGGTTTCAAGCAAGAATTGTCATGTCCGAAAATGTCAGACTTGATGTTTCTCATGATTTCAAGTAAGATGAACTTTGCCTAAACAATCACAAATGGAAATAGAGGGTGGTGATAGAATTGGCAAAATTATTTTTATCTCTATAAAAGATCTGGTCACTCTATAACCAGTTTCAACTTGGTTGAAAATATGGATTTACTATGGCATAGAGGATGGAATCCTGGTTAGAGGACCTCAGCTTGAGCCCATTTCTTTTTTTTTCCTTTCCTTCTATCATTCAAAGTGAGTTAATAAGCAAGTTCTCAATTTTCCCAGCGAAGACAATCTATCAGAATAATTCAGGCTGTGTTTTGGAACCTGGATTGCCCACTAACCACACTAACAAAAAGATAATCTGCAATATTCAAAGTTTTTTCCCTTTGAATTCAGGGGCATTGCTTATTTTTAGGGTTATTAATAGGCTTGTCTTGTAAAAAAATTCAAAGCCACAAACTCTGTTTCTGGAAGAAATGTTGATATATTGTATATGCTTTTGTAGTAACATGCTGATACATGAGAAATTCACAGTAAATATTAGCAAGAATTCTCTTGACAGATAATAGAAATAGATCCAGCCTTTCTTTGGATGTTGGTTGTGCTCAAATAGCACAAGATCTCAGATCTATGACACTTTATACTTTTTTTTTAAGATCTGGCATCTTTTTTTTAGATGGGTGAAGGAAAAGATGTGGCTAGAAACATGTCCCCAGGAAGATCAACTACCTTTTCCATACTAGTAAGGAATTAAATAAAAAATGTGTATTCTGAAATAATAATTTTGCATGCATTTGGAAAGAGTATATATATTATATATCTCTTTATAGAACCATTCCCATGAATCCTTGGGTTGTTAAACCAGAGAGAAACCATTGAATTTTGTGTTTCATAACATGATTGTTAGTTATTATGTGTCTTATGATTAAGTGAAACAAAAATAGTAAACAAATGAATTTGATTTAGAGAAACAAATCATATTGTTGAGTTGACAGTCAAACTGTCTTCCCCAACCAATTCTGGAAGTTAACACTAATGAGCTTGAAATGGAAACTAAGACCTTGGACTTGTACATGGTATGAGTTCTGTGTTCTCATTGTCTTTCAATTACCTTGAGCCCAGCCCCTTTTCTTTATTGTATTTGGGGGGAAAAATGTTTTTGTTAAATGCTATCGAGTCACCAAGGACTCTTGTTGTTGTTGTTGTTATGTGCCATCGAGTCACTTGCGACTCACAGCGACCCTATGTACAAGAGCCCTAAACGCTGCTCTATCCTGTGCCAACCTCACTGTCTCAAACACACTCATTCCCACCACTCCAACTCACAGAATCAATCCATCTCATCGAGGGTCTTCCTCTCCTGCGCCGTCCCTCCACTCTCCCAAGCATGATGTCCCTCTCCAAGGACCCTATAAACAGCGGATCTGATCCCTAACCTGTCCTGTGCCCTCCTCACCGACACTGACACATTCTAGCTCACTGTTACAGTCACTGTGTCAATCCATCTTGTTGCGAGTCTTTCCTCTCTTTAACCTTAGCAAGTGTTTGATTGCCCTTAGAAGTGATACAATCCCATCATTACCATCAGAAAAGAATAATTTTTGTAATGTAAATAATTTTAGATTTTTGAAACACATAACCAACAAAAATCACAACTTTCCCCTGGCTTTTGAAACAGAGCGCTTAAACGTTAGAAAAGTTTAGTCTAATCACTCTTTCTTTTCCATTTTAAGGACTTTATGGTTTTGATTTTTTTATGCTTTCGTTCCATCTAAACTTAAGTTTTATTGATACCATTCTATATTTTTTTCCTTCTCTTTTTGTGGTTAACATTTCCTTGACTCTCTTCGTGTGACATTCTTGGTTGTTGGATTGTGGGGTGTTTTTTTTTTGTTGTTGTTTTTTTAGCCAATGTTTTATTTTTCTCCTTCTTTTCTTCATGCTGGACATCTTAGGCAATCTCTCTCTCCCTCTTGAACTCTTTCATTGTGCTTTGCTCAGGTCAGATTGCAAATGAAATAAAGTAAATTGCCACAAGCTGTTGGAGGCACCAGTTATTTTCACCTTACATGCAGTTAAAACCCATAGAACTAATCAGAGGGGTAGGAGGTAGAAAAAGGTGGGACTTTCTTGCCAGTTTCTTGAAAAACCATTCTGATAAAACCAGACCAAACAACAAATTATTCCCAACCTCCTAAAACTCAATCTAAAATAAAACAACTGTTTAGATGCTGTTAATAGAAAGCCTTTAACTATATAGACAGACATAACCTAAATTTCTAAATCCAAAATATTTTTATCCTGATGATCTTTTGTGATTCCTTGTCTATGTATGTATTTATTTTTAAATGGTATCTTAAGCTCTAATTTATGTGTTCTAGGTTGTTATTATTATGTTTATTAACTTTAAAATACCAAGTCATAATAAGCCTTTAAAAAGAATTTTATTGTTAGAACTTATACCTAGATCCCAATTGCCAACAGTCCCATTAATCCTTTGAGTTTGTGTTGGGGAGGTCTTTATTACAGTTGTTGAATTTTAAACAATTTGTTGAATTTGTGCAATCCATCTGCCTTACAAGGTTCTGCTATTTTAAACATTTGGACACTGGTTTTGTGTGTTGTTTGGTACTTACCTTTTAGTTGATTGGTCCAAACAATCTTGAACCTTTAGGCACTAAAGCTAAATTAGGTTGGGAGATGAAATTTTTGGTACCAAAATATTTTAAGTCCTTACCCTTTATATTACTATTTTTGTCCCAAATACTTCAGAAATCCCCTTGCCAGACCTCTAGACCTGTGACGGTCGCTTCAAGTCAATCAGAGGGAAAAATGGTATGAGTGACAAAGATTGTAATTTCTTTTAAGATTAATGCTTGGCCTGTTATATCATGCTGCCATTTTCCTGGGCTCTACTTGAAAATCCCCAGCTTGGTGTACATCGAGTTGTTATTGTATATGTAGTCAGGTGTTGAGATATGCACCTGCTTCTGATGCTCAGCATCCTAGGTCTCCATTAGCTGTCTAACTTTTGGGACTAGTATCTTGATTAGAAGTAACACAATGACCTTGTGACTGTCAGCCTTTGTGGCAAATACACAAATTTCAGTACTAGGTTTCCTCAATTAACTTAGCAAAGAAATTAGGTGTGCAATGTAACCCTGTGGTAAGTATAGTTTCCTTGAGGGCTTTCTGTAATTGATAGCTTATTCTCTTTGCCCCTGCTGTCTAGTGATCATACAATTATTTATTTATCACAGAATTTTAGAAGTGCCATGTTGTTGTTGTTGATTGCCTTCCAGTCGAGCATGACTCACATGGGAATGTATGATAACAGCAAATGTTCTATGATCATGATAATGACCCTGCCAGTGATGTCTGCTCTAATTATTATGTGCAATGTGTACATGGTTTTAGTAACACTTAACTCCTCTGGCCATTCCAGTATTAACCAAATGCTATTAATTGCACTTAGAAGCAGAACTGGGATCATGCATGGGCTCCTGAGTTCAAATTTTTGGCTTAAGGCTTTAGCATCATATGTGTGATGAATGCATGTAAAAATATTGTTTCACTATGCTTGGAGTAACCCCAAATGCCAGGAATCAAGGGCCTACATCCCAAATCGTATCAACTGGGTCAGAGCATGTTTCTGTAGCCTTGTAGATCTATTTTTCCAAAGGCAAAACTAGTATCTTATATTTGGTCTTATTTTGTGGGAAGTGAGAATTGGGAGTTGGTGCTCCAACTAAATGGAAATGACTGAAGTGTGGTTTGAATTGAAATGGTTTCCCTTTACCTGGTCTAAATTGCCTAAGGAACTAAAACACAGAGTCTGGCTGTGTGGGTACATCCTTAGCCTAGTGTGGGTTTTGTTGTGTTCGGGGTTTTCTCCCAGCCACGACTTTCGCTAGAAAACACAAAGAATGATTTCTGGGAGGATAAATGTTCAATTCAGGATAGCCATGTAGCCGTCCTTTGATTTTTGCCATGTAGACACTTCCAATGTGAAACTGGAATTGGTTAACCAGAATTGGGAACTGAAATTTGTAAGTTCATCACATGGCCATTGGCTAACTGTGATCACGTAGTTATAAAACCAACTTACAAATTACTGTCCAAGCTTTTCATGATGCCATCTGTCTTCCTTCCAAATTCATGTTTGTACCTTTTAGCAAGTTACCCAGTCATTTTAATGGTAATCTTTACGATTGCTTATTTATGGAGGAAGTCTCTAGCCAAAGGTGGAGCTATGCATCCAAACTTTGGAATGGTGTCGTTTTCTCTGTTTTCTTAAATCTGTCGTCCTGTAGCCTGTCCTGCCCCCTGATTTAGTTAATATTTCCCTATTCCATAATTGTCCCACTTTAGAAGGGGACCCCCCCCATTCAAACCCATTGGTTTCATCTCCTTCCCACCTTCTAAGTTGTCCCACATTCTGTTTTAACTTTCTTTTCTTTCTTTATTTACGTCCATTACAGCCAGATCTCTATGGCTCACAGATGTGCCCAGGGAAGCTCCCAGAGGTGCGTCACAGGCCCAAAAGAAGCTTTGCATCAAAGTGCTTCTTTGAGATGTCATAGCACTGCAGCAGCAGGTTCATGTGTGTGTAGTAGAGTTGTTGCTTGGCTTATCTCACTTTTTGTTGTCATTCCCAAACTCTGGAGGCCCACGTCACACATGGTTTTGCCGAGACTTCATGGGGCAAAGCTACGAAATTGTGTGTAGATGCACTCCGGGAATAGTGTGTCTGTCCCTCTCTCCAAATTGCTCTTGGAGGTTGGATAAATATGAAACGGGGACATCAATAGGCTGAACATACAGGAAAGAATGCTCAATGCGAAACTAACCTCTCCTCTGCAATTTTTTTGGTTGTTTTTTTTTTAACTCGCCTTGGTTAGATTTCCAAATATTCCCTCCTCTCTGCTCTTCAGTACTGCAGATTTGCACAAGGTTTGGGCGAGATTTTTTTCCCATAGACCCCAGGTTCTATGTGGCCAATGAATGAAGTAGGGAGGAGGGAAGGGAGGAAGGGAGAGAGGAGAAGGAGGGCATGCCCTGGAAAAGCTGCAGGGAAAATGCCCAGAGCAGCACTTATGTTATTATTTAACATCTGGGTGGTTATTGTACCTCCACCTTTCTATTTTTGCCTCCTCTCAAGCCGCCTTTCTATGAAAGCTCTGGATTCCCCAAATTCTTTTGTAACCACAAAGTATAAACTGACCAAGGGTGAGGTTTTCTTCTTAATGCCAAAAGATACTCTGATTGCAACCTGCCCAGAAACAGCTTCTTTTGTTCCAGTCATATAATCCATTGATCTGCACTATACAATGCTGTGCACAAATTGATAGAAGTCTTGCTATGTTTGCCCTGAGTCACCAGAAACAATAAGCTAAGCCGTAAACATCATTTCATGGATGAGCAGAGTCAATATGGAGGTGATTTTCATGTGCGCTTTTTTTTTCTATCACAGTCATACTCCCACCCACCCTTTTTAAGTTGAATCCTAGTTTTACCTATGTGTTTTGATTAGAGAAGAGAATGATTGCATTATTAAGTTACTAACTTTAAAATCTAGAGTGTAACTTCAGTTTCCCAAGTGTAATCCTACAGGTAGCATGGGCTTCTTGGTGAAGAACTGTACTGGAACCTGAAAGTGTCACAACCGAATGTTCTGAGCCGCCATTTTTTCTTCCCTTTGATTGTCCACAGGGAATTCCTGAGCAATGGGCAAGATTACTCCAAACCTCCAACATAACAAAACTGGAGCAGAAGAAGAATCCGCAGGCAGTTCTAGATGTTCTCAAATTCTATGATTCCAAAGAAACGGTTAACAACCAGAAATACATGAGCTTTACGTCAGGAGGTAAGAGGAAGTCTAGAGTATCCAAAGACTTCAATTCTAATCTCTGAGCCCCATAATGCAGTCACTTCTATAGGGCTCTTGGAGTCCGTTCCAGTATGTTCTCCAAATGGTTTCAACATAAGCAAACTGAAATATGAGTTGGAAGATGAGGTTGATGGTAGGAGATTTATATGACTTGAATGGTGGTTAGAACCAAGTAAGAACATTGATGAGTGAAGCTGAAGTTGTCAGCTTCAATCAGCAGTCACATTCGTTGCTTTGTCCCTTCACTAACGTGAAGACACTCTTGTCACTTAGGATTAGGTTTAGTGGTGTGTTTATGAAATAAGAGATATATAGAGCAAACTGTGGTCCCTTGAGATTTATTTTATCCCCTTGGGCTTGCTGATTTGCACCATGATAACACAGCACAAATTTTGTGGTTGCTAAGTTATTTTAATCAGACTGAATAAAGAAACCACATCTTCCTGTCTATAATGATCAAATTAGCCCTACAACTGCCACATTTTAACTTTGTCTAAAACCAAGCCTTCAGAGCTTTGATGTTCAAAGTTGCATGAGAAGCAATAAAAAAAATATATGCCTAAAAGTCACTTTTTAAGGCAAAGAAAACACACCATATACCAAAAAATTATACCTTTTCTGTTTGTTTTCATTTTGAGGAAGATCATCATCTGTTTAGAATAATTTCTTCTTTAACATCTAAAGAAAGAAGACCGTTGGTGGGCCAACAATTAAGTATTTGGCCATTCACTGAATGATTAGTGTTTCTAACCCACCAACTGCTGCTGCTCCAAGGAGAAAGATGTGGCAGTCTGCTTCTGTAAGGATTATAATCTTGAAAACCTTATGGATACATTTATTCTTTATTACTATAGGGTTACTCTCAGTCAGAACTGACACAGCAGCAAACAACAATGAGCAACAAGAACAGAAAAATGAATACTTTAATTATCACCCCAGCTGCTCTGAGGGAACAGGATGGGCAATCTACTCCCGTGCGATTAACCGCCTCAAGAAAGCCACCGGGGTCAGCTATGGGTCTGCTCTGACTCTATGGTACACAACAAACAACAACAAAACCCTACTTTTTGGCTTTAGATTAGTTAGGCCATACTAGAAGTCTACTTAAGAACAACATAAGTACATACTTGGAATTTGAAGTACAAGCAGGAGTGTCCGACTTAGCTGTAACAAAGAGCAGAACCCAAACTTGAGGGCTTATGCTATTATTCAAAGTTTAAAATAGAATGCAGCTGTCAAGGACCTTTTCCATTGTCCTTTGTTTTCCACATGGAATAAAATGCCTATAAGAATCTGGAGGTACATGCTTCAAATACAGGTAATTGGATAATATAATAATAATAATGTGGATATATAGGCAACCAGAACCCAAGAGGATTTCTCTCACTTCCATTGAGTAGGAACCAACTCATAGTGCCCCCTCCATTGGGTTTCCAAGTATATAAATCACACAAGAGGAGATTGCTCATCTCTCTCCCAAGGAGTCACTAGTAAATTAGAGCCATTCATTATGGAGATGTGATCTTTTCTTGAGTTTTTTGCTGTTGTGTCATGTCAAGTTGGAACCAACTCTTAGCTAACCCTCCAGTGGGTATTCAGAGGCAATATATCACACAGGAGGAGATTACCTATCTTTCTGCCATGGAGCAGCTGCTGAAATTGAGCCACATACCCTTGCAATGGCAGTAAAACTCCTTACCGCTAAGCCAACAGAGCTCCCTTTTGGTTTTTTAGATGTTAAATAATAAGTTGTTCTAGAAAAGCACATTGTTGTTGTTGTTGTGTACAGTCGAATTGGAATCCACCCAATAGCTGACCCTCCAGCCGTCTTTCAGAGGTAGTTAATCTCACAGGAGAAGATTACCCATCCTTCTGCCATATGTAGCAGCTGGTGGATTTGAACCACAAGACATCAGGATTGCAGCTCTTACCACTAGGCCACCAGAGCTCCCTAGAAAGGTGGACCAGATTGGGGGTGGAAAGTATATATACATATTTATTTATTTTTTGGTCTAAGTTTTTCCACTGCTAATCCCACAAATGTGAATATCAAAGCTCCAAAAGCTTAGTTTTACACATGAGCAAATAAAGTTGATTCAACTCTGGTTTTTCTCTCTCAATTCTAAAGATAAAATCCTGATAATGGATGCTAGAAGTTAACATTATCTGAATTGTTGCAGTATACTGAGTGACATGAAACTCACAAGTTTGTTATCTGAATGTTCTAGTTTTGAGACTAACCATGTATGAGGCAAAAGGGATGGGGAGAGGAGGATAAGCGGGATGGCAGGGTAGGAGGAAAGGAGTGCAAATAAGGTTAGAGTGGTGGGGGAAGTCAGGAGAAAGAGGGAGAGAAAAATGGAGGAAGTATGAAGTAGAGGTAGAGATGAAAAATAAAGAGAGGGCGGAAGGAAGGGAGAAGGGGGAAAGGAGAGAAATCTTGGCTTTAGATGTTTAGGATCAAGTTATTTAAGAGGAAGTCATGATTGCTTCTTAGAGGCAATTTCATCTTACACACTTAGGCCATGTTGTCACAAAGGGGCCAGTCTTTGGAAAAAGATGTCATGCTGGGAACAATGGAGGGTCAGGGAAAAAATGAAGACCCTCAATGAAATGAATTGCTACAGTGACTACAGTGGGCTAAAGAATGTCAGCTATATCAGGGATGGTACAGAATAAGGCAGGGGTCCGATCTGTTGTTCATAGGGTGCCTCTGAGTTGCAGTTGGCTCAGTAGCAGCTAACAACACCAATCCTGACATCCCTCCATATAAGAGGAAAGTCACTGGAGACCTTCATTAAAATGAATCAATATTAGAATGAGAATATCATATGGTTATAATGATGTGAGCTATTTTAAGAATATTGAACTATGTAATTTGTCAGAATATTTGTTTGATACTGAGTTGGACAGTTTCTGGTCAAAGGTACATGAGCTCTAAAGGGGATAGTCCTTATGAAACAATAATGAATTCTTTATTCTCACTTTTCAGATAAAAGTGCACATGGATACATAGCAGCCCATCCTTCGGTAAGTAAAGATATTCAAAGCTATTTCCTGTGATTAGCACTTACAGGAGGCCACTTTCCCCCCCCCATATACAATCTTAGAGAAACCATTTTATCGAGGTATAAATGAGACTAAAAGTGTATCCATTTTAAGTCTACAGTTTAATTAACTTTAGTAAATTTATGTGCTGGCACTTCTGAGACCACAAGCCAAACGTACATTAGTTCTATCACTCTGTAAAATCTGTGGTGCCTGGTAACAGTCAATCTCTACCCTCACCTTCAGCCCTAATCTCATTTTAATGTGTACAAAATCATTCAGATATGGGAAATTGGCTCTCCCCCCACTCAGTATAATTCTAGAAAATTTCTCCCAAGTTATTGCATGTATCAATAGTTTTGCTTCTTTATATTGTTGAGTAGTATTTCGTGGTATGAAAGTACCACAATTTATTTACCCACTATTCACTCTTTGAAGGATATCTGGACTCTTTCCAGTTTTATATATGCAAATATACATGTATGTGGGAATGTGTTTATACTCTTACATATAGAATCTTGATCATAATTTTCTTAATATTTACAGCTTCTTTTTACAGTCCACTCACAGTGTGCCAGGCTCTGGGCTAGTTACTTTATATGCATTAACTCACTTATTCTTTCCTACTAAATGTGCCAAGTAATGCCATTGCCCCCATTTTACAGATGAGAAAACTGAGATTTAGAGAGATGAAATAATCGTTTGTCCCTTGTCATACCACTATACTGTCCCCTTTTAGCGACATGTTTTCCCACAAACTGAGGCACAGAGAGGAAAGCAACATTTCCGAAAGTCATGCTGCTAGTGTTAGCAGAGAGGTTGCTAGAATATAAGCAAACTTACTCAAAGTCCTTGGAAATGCTTTAGTATCTGAAAGGCTATCCATATACATGAAACAGAAGATGATCTTAACACAAGGTTCACTTCCCATGATTTAATTTTGAGATCCCAGTAGAAATCATTTTCTACCTCATTGGCTTTCTTAGAGGTGAAATAATTAGCATTAGTGAAAATCACCTAATGACTTATCTGTCAAGCCATGGATGGTTAAACTGATTCTTCCTTTTGTTGAAGAGGAAATGCTGACCTGCCTGAGGTCACCCCGGGCAGCCAAAGTGACAGCAGTAGAGCATTAGTAACAAAGAATAAAGGCTCTTGACAATCATCTTTGGTCTGATTCCTTGGCTTCCTGGATGTGTGTGACTTTGGCAAAATGACTTAATTTCCCTGAGCCTCTTTCCTCACCTGTAAATGAGAATTAATAACAGTATTCAGGGTGGGCAAGGTTCAGAGCCATTGTTCATAGGGTTGCTATGAGTCGTAGTTGACTTGATGGCACATAACAAAACACAACAATCTTCTACTGCGTGTGTGAATATTAATATGAAAATTAATTTTATGCACTTAGTACAGTACCTGCGGGAGAAGGAGGGGCAGTCTCTTCCCATGTGATTAAACTGCCTCTGAAAACCCACTGGGCGGACAACCATGAGTTGGTTCCGGCTCGACAGCACACAACAGCAATAGTATAGTACCTAGCACTTCATGTGAGTTTAGTAAATGCAAGCTATTGTTAACATTATATTTTGATCTCATCAAGACATTACACTCACTCCACATGTGTGAGGCTTGTGTGAGGTCTTAATACTGATTACCTTGCTCAGATTTCCCAAAACAGAACAAAATGTGACTCTTGTATTCTGGCATCACTGGTCGTCTCCTCAGCTACTTTGTTATGACAATCTCCTGAGCAACTCAGAAAGCTGCACATGGAGAGTGGTGTTAGTGAAATGGAAAAGACACACTCCTCCTGACCAAAATGCCAGTCTTCCATGATAAACCTATACCTCATTTCCTTTGACTTAACTAACACTGTTTTTGTATAACCTGGGAAGTATCCTGGCAAAGAAATAGTTTCCATTTTTTAAGATTGGTCAGTTATTTTAAACACCAGCCTGCTAGGATGATCTGCGTATTTATTTTCCTTTTTTTTTTAAACTTTATAAACTTCTATCCACTGACCTTTCTTTTTTAGCTCTTCCTTGTATTTGCTTTGCTTAGCCAATTAAAATGAAATCAGCGTAATAGACAAAATGTCCCATAAAATCAGAAAGAAAAGATAGTCTCACTTTGTTGATAAGAAAATGAAAATATTCACTTATTGAAACTATATTAATTAAATTCTTCAAGGACACAATCTGGTAGGGGAAAGATAAAATATGAACACAAAAGAAACCCATTACAATATGGAATATGGTACACACCAGGAAGTTATTCTGTTTTCTAGGAGAATTCAGGAAGATGATGTTGGGAAATGGAGGTAGGCTCTGATATTTAAAGGCTTACATTCAATCATTCAATATCTGGTTTGAAATAGGCACTTGCTAAGTATTTGCTGAATGGTGGACTGCAGAAGATAACATTTGAATTAGATCTTGAAGTTCAGATTTGATGTGGATCTGTGAAGATGGGAAAAGGGCATTCTAAGCAAAAGGAAAAACCACAATAAAAGGCTCATAGGTATGAAGAACAACGTAATAAAGGGGTTTACATGAAGCCTATGCAAGAAAGGTGATCATAGGTTTGAAACTTTCGGAGCTGCATTAGAACCAAAGCACATTGTAACTACAGAATTGAAGTCCTGTGCCTTTTCCATGAACAGTTGCAACTTGGAACTCTGATCCATTGGATATTCATTGACTGATCTCATATATTGATTTGACTTCAGTCACTGCTGTGGAGTCAGAACCAATTAATAAGGGGGCTCTGGTGGCCTAGTGACAGGAAGCTGCACTGCAATCCCTAAGGCATGCAGTTCGAATTCACCAGATGCTCTTCTAGAGAAAGAGGGGAAATCTCCTCCTGTGCCAGTCAGATCCGATTTGATGGTACACAACAAGGGAAAAAAACAAAAAAAAACAAGTACAGTAGACCCTCCAGCGGGTTTCAAGAGGCTACATTGCATGAGAGGAGACTGCCCATCTCTCTCACAAGTAGGCATTTTCTCCCAAGCTACTTTAGTCTGGAAATTTTGCTGAAACCTGTTAAGCATCCTAGTAACTTGCAAGTTTCCCCTGACAGATCAGTGATGCCGTCACAAGAAACACATTGCCCCATAGTCAAGAATTCTGCCACTGAACCCCTACTGTCTCTATCTAGTTCATTCTGAATCATAGCGACCATGTGGAATACGGTAGGACTGTTCCATAGGGTTTTCAAAGACCACTAGATTTTTCTTTCATGGATCAGGTAGTAAGTACGAACCATTAACCTTTTGGTTGGCAGCCAAGTGCTTAATCAGTGCACTATCAGAGCTCCTTAGTCAGACAAGAAACCAATGTCATTATTGCCAACTTGATTGTGACTCATAGTGACCTTATGGGACAGAGTAAAACTGCCTCATTGGGTTTCTGAGTCCATAATCTTTATGGAAGGGAGCTCTGGCCTAGTGGTTAGGAGCTGTGCTGCAGCCCCAAAGGCATGCAGTTCAAGTCCACTAGCTGCTCTGTAGGAGAGAGGCAATCTCCTATGCAATTAGATTGCCTTTGAAAACCCATTGGAGGGTCAGTTATGGATCATTTCTGACTCGAGAGTATACAACAACAACAACAACACTCTTTATGGAAGTATACTTTTAAATTAGCAGCCAAACACTTTAACCACTGTGCCATTAAGGTTCCTGAGTCAAATCCTAGAATAAACATTGCAGAGGAGGACTTTAGGATGCAAGAGAGATGATTAAGCTTGTGCTTTGAGAATAGTCTTTTTTTAAAAAAAAATACAATTTTTTATTTTATACTGGCTCACTTACAAAGTTTGTATACATTATTTTTCATACTGGATCTTTCTGTAAAAGATTATTATTGTGGGATGTATATGAGGATTCAATGGGTGGGGAGCAGAGGGGTGAGGATGAGTGGAGTTGGGGGGTAATCATAGGGTTGCACAATTTGATGGGTGGAGGGAGGGGTGTGTAAAGGAAATGGAGAAGATCTGAAGGGAAAAGGATATGAATAGTCTTAACAGCAAATGTCCAAGTGAAGTGTGGCCAGTGAGTGAGGAAGAAAGATGAGTGGGGAGTGTTTCAAGTGTCCCTCGGAGAGGCAGCGAGGGCCTGAAGTGAGGTAATGGCAATAGGCTCAAGTTCCAGAGATGCTTGGATACTGATTTATATTGGAGGAAAGATTGAGCTCAAGATGTGTGCAGGCTGAGAATGATTAAATGGCCAAAAAGGTAAGAAGGTCTTGTTTTCTAGGAGGAGCAGATTTCTACGGGAAGTTACAGCATTCCCTACTGGTCATTTTGAGCGTGAGGTGCTGATAGGGGCTCCAGATGAAGAGAATTAGTTGATCTGCTTGACTAAGGCTATGTTTCTAGTGACTAAATAAGCAGATTTGTTCCCTAAAATTCAGTTTGGATCACATCTACCGGGCTCTGATGTAGGAATGGTGAACAGTGCTTTTATGCTCTTGTCATTCCCAGGCAGGTTTTCCTTTGCACTGCTTATTCTTTATTTGCTTTAGAAACACTCTCAGTAGATCTCATTATCCTATAGGATCTTATTTAATGTGATTGACTGCTCCTTGTAGGCATGGCCTGAACTGATCACAAGCTGTGGCATCCTGTAGTCGCCTGGGAGGGGATTAAAATAGAAGCAAAGCTGTATTCACAAATGGCTTCCACTAATGGCTACATAATTAGTTTTTAATTCGGAGATACCACCCATAGTCATCTGACATCTACTTTACTGCTCATTTGTCGTAGCTTCTTTGATATTCATGTATCAAATTCTGCATACCATTCAGGGACCCATGCTTCAATCTGGAGCTAATTTTTAACTTTCATATTTTTTATTGTACTATTGAGGATGAAATCATATATTTGGAAACTTGACTTAGTATTCCAAGTGGAAAGAAACAACGAGAATATGAATAGGACATGATTTGCATCTAGAGAGAGCCTGTGTGTACAGCTGAGAAATT